ATAGAAATAATAACAATAAACATGTAGAGAAGAAAGACTAAAGACAACAGCAGAGTGAGGAAATGTGCTCAGTTTGTTGTGGTCTTCCTTTTGGCTGCAAACTGGTTGATCCATAAGCGAAGGTACTGCTTGCCTGGAACTCCTCAGACCGAAACTGTCTTTTGGATATACAATATTTTTTAACAAAAAACCACCCAGAGTACTTGACTTAGCCTTGTTATAGAGGTGAGTATCATCAGCATAGAGTGAACTCAAACTGAACCAAATGAGCAAAAGGCTAAAGAATATCTTTRTTGCCACATCAAAAATGACTACTGAGCATGTATATGGATACTTATCCATATTAATCTGTGATGTCGGATAAAGCCAGATCTAGAAGYACGTCTYAAAGGCTTTAAAACCATTTATGCTACTTCCTGTACATTTCTRCAGGTCATAATGCCACCTGCAGTGACTACCAGGTCTCCTGGTCCAAGTTTGCAAAGGTTAGTGACAATGTGGACCTCGGTGGTTTTAAGAAACTGCTAAAGATCAGTTAAATTCTGTGACCATGGGGTGTACATTTAAAGATTACCTGTGTTCTTTAAATCTGCAGGAGAATATTCCGAGAAAGCCGTTCAGTTTCTGGATGTGGCTGGACTCAATCCTGGAGCTCATCAAGAAGCACCTGCTGCCAGTCTGGAATGAGAAGTACTTCCTTCATGTCTTCCAGGACTTCCGTTTTACTTACAGTAGGCTTCGTCGGTCATTTTTTACAGTTTTACCTCCAATCCATCTGTGCAGCTACATCATGGGSTTCGTGAGCAAAGAGATGGAGCGGACTCTGCTGAAGGACCGGGAGCCGGGTACTTTCCTCCTACGCTTCAGCGAGAGCCACCTGGGAGGAATCACCTTCACCTGGGTGGAGCACAGTGAGAACGGTGAGCTGAGTGGAGCAGTAGTCGTGACGCTCAAGACTTCTGTCCTTCTGACTTCTGGCTTTTATTCAACAGGTGAAGCAAAGTTCAACTCCGTGGAGCCGTACACTAAAAACCGCCTGAGCGCTCTTCCGTTTGCYGACATCATACGCGACTACAAAGTGATCACYGAYGGCGTCGTCCCCGAAAACCCGCTCAAGTTTCTCTACCCCGACATCCCCAAAGACGAGGCCTTCGGACGGCTCTACAACAGCCAGCCCAGCAAAGGCAAGACCATGAAACGCTGTGYTTACTTAGGGTTAAAATGAAATATCTGTGAGTAGCTGCTGTCTTACCTGCAGTGGAGAACCAAGTTTTCTGACACGAGTGTCAATAATTACCAGAACMAACCAGATCCAGACAGAACTCTGCAATATTTTAGGTTTTACTATAAGTTTAACTTATTTTGTTACCTTTTTCCAACACATAAATGTTGTCTTTTAAAGGATGTTGGCCACGTGTCCACCAATAGCACAGCATAGCATATCATAGCATAGCATAGCATAGCATAGCATATCATAGCATAGCATTTTCTACAGTGTGTAGAGATCAACAATATATTGCTTCTTCAAACCCTATAAAATATTTTGTTGTTTTATGTAAAAATGTCCTTCCCGTGTCCATTTGAATATCATCTAGCCTAATTAGCTAGTTTCACGTCAGAATCTCTCATTTGTCACTTGTGAAGAAAAATATTAAAGAAAAGTCTGGCTTTTTTATTTTACATTTATTATAGAAATTGCAGCAAAAGTATGTATTAATCAAATAATTACAACAGACTACAAAACAAGAAGTGACTTTAACAGAAAGGCTAGTTAGCATAGGGGCTAGCGCACTTAGGCAGTAAATTTAGCTGCTTTTAAAACATATTGCTAAAAAAGTACAGCAAACCAACTTGTTCCTCTTTTTAAGGTTTTAACTTTTTATTGCATCTGTGTTAATTTTCCAGTTCATCCATACATCCCATCCACCCTCATCCCCATCTCAGAAATGCGGTGAGTTCTTTGTGCTTTAGCTCAAGTTCAGAGACGAGTCTTATGATCTCTGTGTTGTTTGGTTCAGACAAACAAGTTTAAAGTAAAAATTTATTTTAAAAACTTGGTAACAGATGGTGATGTCACTTACATGTTCGTTGTCATGTTATTCCAGATCCAGTGCGAGCAGCACGCCCCATTCCTGCCCATCTCCTGAACCCCCGATGACCCCCGGAGAGTTCGATATGCTCAGTGAGAACCTGTGCTTCGACATCGACACCGTGAGTTCATATTCTGTGATTCTACCAGTTAGMATGAGAACAAACTCAGAATTAATCCTGCTAAACATTGTATTATGACTTTTCGTTAGCAGAGGTAGTCAGCMTTAGTAGGACAAGCATTACTAGTACTGGTCAGCATTGGCATAACTAACATTAGCATTAGTAGCATTAATAGCATTAGCAGTAGTAGTCTTAGCATTAGCAGAACTAGCATTAGCACTAGTAGTCTTATCATTAATAGCATTAGCACTAGTAGCCTTAGTATTAACAGAACTAGCATTAACACTAGTAGTCTTAGCATTAGCAGAACTAGCATTAGCACTAGTAGTCTTAGCATTAACAGCATTAGCACTAGTAATCTTAGCATTAGCAGAACTAGCATTAGTACTAGTAGTCTTAGCATTAACAGCATTAGCACTAGTAA